CCCCCCCGAAACTAATGCCCAGAGAGGTTAAATTGTTTCCCAGGGTCACACAGCTAGGAGTAGAAGAGGCTGGATTGGAACCTAGATGGTTAGTTGCTTGTTGTCAGGAATTGCCTGGGGCCTTAATTAAGGCTGATTACAGAGTAGTGAAAGAGAATATTGGCTCAGAGGAGCAAGTATGCTTCTGGTGTGCTCTTACTCTAGATATTGCCCCTGCTGAAGGACTTGAGCCACATGGCTTTTTAAAATATTTTGAATGATTACTTGAGCTGCAAGTTGAGATATTTATTGTGAAGATGTGTATCTTATCAATATGCTTCCCGTTTTGGATGCATAAAATATGTGCACCAAAGATATGTATGAGATTATGTAGCACCAGAGGGTGAGCATTGCTCTCATTACATGTCTGTAAGACTTAAAAAGCTTAAAAGACTGAGTACGATTTTGGTATTTTCTGGTATTCAGATCTCAAAACATAATTAAGATTCAGTTTGGAAAGGATAGCAAAATAACTTCACACCCTTAGATGTGAAGTATCATACCATCCACAACATTTAGGACATTCTTTTGCGTTAGTTAAATTTTGTGTTCAGTCGATCTTTCAAAGTAAAACCCTCTGTCTTTGGTTGTAAATCACATAACCGAATATGGCCCAGGTTGGGTTTACTTATACATGTAGCCTCACCTCTTCCCATTGACAGTGAGATTATGTTGGGCAACTTTGAAAAACCAAATATTATTGAAATACCAACCCAATTTTTACTCTACAATAACACCTTAGGCTGGGATAATTTTACTGCGCTAGACCCCTCAAAGAAAAATGGTTCTGATTATGTCACAGAAACATAAAATCTCAGAATTGGAAGAGATTTTAAGAAGTAATTTCACCCAACCATTCAGTTAGCTTGTAGAATGTCCAGTGATTGTTGGAAAAGCAAGCGGTCAAAACTGATTATTTTTCTTTGGTCCCAGCATGGTGGTTATACATTGACATGAAATGTAGAAATGATTTAAGAAAATCATTGGAAGCAGGAAACATGCCATATTCAAATGGATAGATGGAAAGGACCCAACTGTTAGGCGAGGGGCCCTGGTGTCAGGAGCCCATTTTACTGTCTTTAGAATATGATAGACACAGGATCCAGGAAAATGTGTCCAACCTGAGATGAGTTCAGAGTGGGGGTATTTGTTCCATAAGCAGGAGTGGGAGGGCCGGGTCACCTCTGCAAGGTTCGTGGGGAGTGCAAGGTCAGCGGATAGTCACGTGGCTTTTCTCAGTTCCGCGCTGCTGTGGTTATGTGGTCCTTGTGTAGGGGCCCCAGTGTGTCTCTTCCCCGTGTTCCATATTTCTCACACCATCTCCCCCGTAGGCCTTTGTTGGGTTGAGTTGAAATGCTTCATAGGTGGGAGGCTGGTAAAGACAGTGAACAGGACAATTTGCATTCAGAGAAAGCAGAATATATTTAGAAATGATCTGGAAATATGTTACAGAACCTAGCATTTAGGGTGAATTGTGGCCAGTCCATGGGTTAGATGGGGGCAGTGGTAAGATGACCACTTGTCATATCTGCATTCAGAAGCCGACTCACTCGGATACAGTATTTAGGTTGACTCTACCTGGTGTTTCGGTGGTGTTGCTGTTCACATTGTCTTCAAATGGCAGACAGTGCTTCAAGTTTTCAACTAACTTCACCTCCGGGAAGCTTCTCTGACCTCACAAGGCTGGAGGAGGTATCCCTGCTGCGTGTTCCAGGGGCATTCGCTCTCTCTCTGCCATGCATTTATCTCACTCTGTTGTAATTACCTGTTTAGTTTTTTGTATCCCCCACTAGGATATCAGCTTGGTGAATTGGGAACTGTAGCCATCTAGTTGGCAGAAACTCAGTAACAGTTTGTTGAATGAACAGATTAAGCTTCATCCCTTTTTTGGGGAGACTAATATTGTCTTGATAAATATGAATGCATGGTTGCTCCTCATTTAA